TTTATTTGGTTTTTCTCTGGTACCAGGAACCGAACTCACGACCTTGCGCTTGCCAGGCAGGCGCTTTTGCCGCTGAGCTAAATCCCCAGCCCCCATTCAAGCTTTATAAACAATCGAGATTTATATCTTACAGGTCCAGAGTCTGGAGGTGTCACATCAGGGTGCCAGCATCTCTGTCTGATGCGAGCCTGGCTCCGTGTTCATACACAGCCATCTTCTCAATGTGTCATCATAAGGTAAAAAAGAAAGAAAGAAAAGGTGAGAAACTTCCCCAGGGCCTCTTTTATAAGGGCACTAATCCCACTCACGAGAGCTGCCTCTTTATGATTTAGTCACCCCCCAAAGGCTTTATTTCTTTTTTCAGACATGATCTCACTACGTAGCCAAGGACAGAGTTGAACTTGAACTGTCCTGAACTGGGGCTCCTCCTGCCTCAGCCTCCTGATGACAGGCTTGTGCTATCATACTGCAGCATCTCATTTCTTAATGCCATCACAATGGAGCTGCAGACCTCAACATATAAATCTGTGGGGCAGAGCATGACAGTCAATCCATAATGACCCCACATCCTGGTCCCACATCTTCCTGACCTGCCTGCCCCTTGTAGAACTCATCGGGAACATTTGGGTCTTTGTTTTGGAGCAAACTGATCCTTCTAGGTGGAAGCTTCTATGTACATCCACATTCTAGTCTTCTTCTTTTCGATTTTCTGTCCCTGTTGCTCGACTCTGATGTGCACGACTGAGTCAGCAAAGGAGGAAGTGTTGATGCAGATAAACAGGCCATCAAGGAGCTCTCTGTGCAGGGCAGCTTGTCCCAGAACTCAGCAAACACATGCCTGCGTCACTGTAGTTTGCCTGACTTGTGTCCTTGCTAAAGCCCTCAAGCACTTGCGAGTTCCCTGAAACCAGGGCCTGTGTGTGTTTCCCGTAGCTATGTGGCCAGCGCCCAGCTCACACCCCAGGTCGGGCGCTTGATCACTAAATACTGAGTGAATGAACGCTCCTCTCCAGATATGGCACAACCGGCCAACATAAAAAAAGCACTGTCACCCTGCTTCCTTTGCCTGACCATCATGCACAGAGCTACACATTCTGCAACCCATGAATTCTTCTCTTTGGGATCACAAGCTCGCTTCAGTGCTTCCAAAACCCCTACAACTGTCCTTCGCTAGTGCTCCACCAGTATTGTATGGGTCATCTCAGAACCCATGCACTGATTTCTGCCTCTTGGGGCACAAAATCCAAAACCTGGAGCTTTTCTGAGCTCTTGGACTTCTCTTGTTTTGAATGGGTATGTTGGACACAATGACCTCTAAGATTTCTTCCAACAGGAACATACAGTGAGTCTAAATGACACATGGTGATTGTTGAGGGCCTGAATTGAACCATGAGTCATACTGCCCAAAGTGTCGAAAGGAAACAAAATATTTTAAATGTCTGGTACCACACATCAGCATTCCTGAAACCCCCGCCTCTCTGGAAAGCACCGGACGATGAATGGAAGGCAGGGTGTGGGTCAGGCCGGCGTCACAGCTGACAAATGCCCTCACACTGCCTCAGCTGGCTCCTGGCTCGTGGCTCCGCCTGGCCAGACACGGACACGTTCCCATTCCGTCCGCAGGTTAGGAGGACCTAAGTGCTGGGGGAGGAGGTCTTTGCGGAAGGAAATGATTCACACCCCAGCAGAGCAGGCTCCCAGCCACCTGCTCCCACCACCCTCCGGGCCCCAGGGGTGAAGAGGCCTGACCTAAAGGGACTCTAGTCTCCCTGGGTGGATCTATTACATGCATTAAAATAATTTACACACGGACCTATAAAGCGTTTAATTCGCCGTGCCATCATCTATTCCAGAAGTGTTCCTCTTCATCATGAATTATTTTTGAAGTATTTATGTGAACCTCACCGAAAATCACCTCCGTCAGCAAATGGAGAAATGGAAAGGCATTAAGAAGAGGCGTTGACCCCGGGGTCACAGGCACGAGGGTGGCCAGGGTCAACAGGACAGAAGAGGGAACCGGGGTGGCCCCAGCCGGCGCTGACCAGGCTGCTGGGTTCTGGTGCCCCTGCCCACACCTTGGCACAAGGAGAGCACATGCAGGTTTTGATACTAATGATTGTGGTAGTAACCCATGTGCGGGACCCCTCACTTCCCCGTGAGCAGCAAGCCTGCTTGGCAGATATAAACAGATGAGGAAACACAGGTGCAAAGGCAGGAGGGAGGCGCCCATTGTGGCAGCTTTGGCTCCAGGCTTCCCGTGCATAGCTTCCCACAAGGCAGCAGTCACTCACTTTGCAGGGAGCTGGTCTCAGACCACCCCAGTGTGCAGGGCAAGCACAGACCAGCCCGTCAGGATGGCTGACACCCGCCTTTCTCCCCCACAGCCAGGCATGCGCCCATACCAATGGCAAGACAGAGGACCACGCCAAGTCCTCCTCCAGGGCTCTGCCAGTTTGCCACTGAGCTGAGTCGATATTCAGCTTTGCTTGAGGGTCTCTTTTCTATAGACCACCAAAGGAATTTCTTTCCTTGTTTCCATTTTGTTTTGTTGCAGTACTAGGGATTGAAGTATCAAGCTACAACCCCTGCTGTTTTTACTTTTTATTTTGAGACAGAGTCTTGCTAAATCACCTGGGCTGGGCTTCAATTTGTGATCCTCCTGCCTCAGCCTTCCAAAGTGCCACACCCAGCTAACACTTCTCCCTTCCTACCTTTCCTCTCCTCTACCAGTAAGCCACCTCCCCAGTTTTGGAATTTCTTTGTACAAAGCTTGCACGATGTCCACAATATTCTAGTGATCATTATCAAAGTTAACTGGAATGTGATTTTACTTTATAAATGTTTGTACTATGTGGGGCATTGTTCATACCCAAGCTATTAAAGATGGAGCCCTGTTCTCATGGAATCCTCAGTCCAGTAAGAGCAGTAGAATATAAGTGTGCAGAGAGAGACAGACAGAGACAGAGACACAGAGACAGAGATAGACAGAGAGAGACAGAGAGGGATTTTCAGAGAGTGATTACTGCCACAGCTAGGCAGAAATAGGGTGATGGGCTGAGGTATGATGCAGTGGTTGGGGGCCAACAAATCCTATTGAAAAAGAAAGTTTCCCTTGGAGCTGAAAATCAAAGAAGAACGTGCCACGCATGAAAAAGCCAAGAGGAAACAGCAGATTCAAAGGCCCTGGGGTAAGGCCAGGTTTGACCAGTCTGAAATACAAAAGCCATGTTGGCTAGAGAGAGAGAACATTGACACAGAGTGAAAGATGAAATTGGAGACCTGCAAGGCCAGAGCAGGTCACAAAAAAGAATGACAGAGTTGTGTGTTACAATGTAAATGAATCTCAAAAACATTTTTTGCTTGACAAAATAAGCCAGACATAAAAGGTCACACATTGTCTGATTGCACGTATATGAAACACTAGCAATAAGTCAATCTGTAGAGACAGAAAGCAGGCTGGTGTTTGGCAGGTGCTGGGCGATGGGGGCTGGACTGCTTAATGAGTGTGGAGTTATCTTCAGAGGCAAGGACACCAGTGTGTAGGAACGGAGCACAATCCGTAGCTGTACAGTGTCCTGGATATTCTAAATGCTGCAGAACTGTAGGCTTTGCAGTGGTTAATTTCACCTCACAATGCAAGGGTTTGAAGGGAAGCAGCGATAATGGGCAATAATTAAATGATATAAAATTTCACTTTTTAAATGATATTCCTGAGCACATGGATCCCTCCATGTCCTTTTCAGATTCGGCCTCCTCCCCAAAGCCCTGCAGGCTGTGTCCCCTCCAGCACTGGGCCTGCCAACACCCACAGGGCCTGCGTCCCTCCCGGGCCGGCTGGGACAGGAACCCAGCGCGGTGTTCACCCAGCCCTTAGGTGAGAAAAATTGTCCTGCTGCCCTCAGGAGCGCCCCACCCGCCACCCCAGTGCCTCTGGGTCCCAGTTTCTGATAACAGCCATGATTCTAGGGAGGAAAGGAGCAGCGGTGGAACGCAAAGCAGAGTTAAGTGTCAATAGTTGAAAAGATTGGAGGCGTCGCTCGGGTCCGCGGCGGAGGAGTTACCAGCCGGGCGTCGCTGAGCCTCTGCGCCTTCTGCGTTGGTCCCCTTCCTTCCTTCTTCGGCGGGGACTGAAGAGTTGGGCATCATACTGCTGGGGTGCGGCAAGCTCATCCTGCACGGCCGACTCTTCACTGCTTTGATCCCCGGAGCCGCGGGACTGATCCGGTGGCCCGGGCTGCAGCGAGTCGGCGCCCAAGGACGCCCCCCGCCCCCGTGGCGACACGAAGGCCCCGGGCGCCCCCGCCTGGCGCCGCGCCCCGCACAGTGCCCGGCCCGGGCCACCTCTCCAGGCGCGCAGCCAAGAGCAAGGTCGCGGACCTGACGGCGACCCGCCCCATTAGTCCGCCTGGGCGCCAGGAGGAAGGAAACAAAAAATGAAAATGAAACCTTCTCCAAGGAAAGCCTCCTCACAGGGCCGGTTGCTGGATAGGAGCTTCCGTGGCTCCCCTCTTCTTGGCTTGAGTGTGGGTGCCTGTCTGCCCCACCGCTGTCTGTGAGACCCGGGAAAATAGCCCATCACGCAGGGCATTGTCCATCAGGACCCACAGTAACTTAGTCTGATTTTCTGGTGTCTGATAAACGAAAATTTGTGTGTGCAGCAAAAAGAGACAAGGTAGGCTGGGCGTGGGGGCGCGCGCCTGTGACCCCCGCACTGCAGAGGCCGAGGCAGGAAGATCAAGATGAGTTTGAGACCAGCCTGGGCTACACAAATGAGTTCAAGGGCAGCCTGCACGGCAGTAGGATCCTGCCTAAAAAAAGAAAAGTAAAGCAGTGCAGAGAAAGCAAGGAAATGAAATCTTCAGGACAAAAGTGTGCACCCTAAAGTGGAGGTTTGCAGATCCCAGTGGGCTTCTTCCTGTCCGCGAAACGTTTATTTCTTTGAAGTCGAGCCTTTTGACCAAAGTTTCTGTTTTCTTCCAAGCCCTTTGATTGAACCTGCCACCCCAAATCACTTTGTAAACAAAGAACAAAGCAAGGACTGCCTGAAGGAATGAAGAACACTTTGTGGGTGACTCTGGATTCTTTGCTGGGCATCCTTGGTTTCAAAAGAAAGTGACCTCTGGCCTTCAGCTTTGCTGTCTCTCTCCCACTGCCTGGATTTTCTGAGGGCAAAACTGACACGTTTTAGACAAATCACAGCAGCCAGCTTCCTGTCTCAGCCCACTTTTCCCCCAGGCGACCTTCCCCTCCCTCAGCCCCTCCCGGGTACCAGGTAACGGGATTGATGGAGCCTCCTTTACCGCTTCTCCCAGCGAACTTCTCATAACCTGACGCATAAATAATCACATGTTTTATAAATAGCTGTGGACAAGAGGCTGTAAAACAACGAAGATATATTTGTGCCTTTATGTCCTAGGAATATTTTCTAAAACGACTGTTTTATTTGGTGTGGGTTGAATGGGGGCGTGTGTATACACAACAATCCCCAAAGTTTTCCCCTCCCCCTCCCCAGGTCAGGCCAGCACTATAGTTAGCAAATTGATAAGGTTCCACGGGCGAGCTTTATTCCTTCTGACAACGAGCCTATGACACTTTATAAAAAGAAGTAATCCAGAACAATCTCTAGGTAATTAACACCTAGATAAACAAACATAAATTTCTATATTGCATTTATTTGGACTACCACTCAAATATGCGTGAACCATGCTTTTTTAATTAAAAGATAAATCCATGTGACACTTAGCCTCAAACTTAATTATTCAGCATAGTATAATAAAAAATAGAGCCCATTAAATGTGTCTTGCACTGTATTTCTGTATTAACAGCAAAACAGTTCGGTCTGGGATCATTTAAATTTTCCCCCTCCTCTTTGCTCGTGATTCCCCTGTTCACACAAGCTCTTCTTCTCCCTCCTGGTCTCCCCAACACCCCCCCATATCTCTCTTTTCTCTTAGCACCAACAGGTGATGAGATTAAAACTCTACACAAGGCCCTACATGGAATGCTCAGCTGGGCTACATTTTTAATATTGCATTACCTTATGAATTTTTTTGCTTCCCCATGGAAACATACCTCTAGTTCAGTGGAATGTGCCCAGCCCTTCTATCTTGAAACGAAGATCACAATATTTAATACTAATTTTCTTGGGATTGTGCTTACAACACACCAGGTGAGGTTTTCATAATATACTGTTACAATACAGATGTTAAACAGAGAGGGGGAAGTATGCAAAGCCCAAACTACAAGAGACAGCAGGGTTATCATCTTTATAAAAGTTTCTCAGCACAAAATAGCATCTTAATGCTGGGTATCAGCAGCTCAGCACCTTCCGGCTGCTAGGAAGAGAAATTTATACTTGTGCCATCCCCACTTGGGCATGAAGTAGGAACAAAGATCCATTTAGTCACTCAGTGAGAACAGTGAGAATGCACCATACAAAAAAATGCCCACATGGCAGACCTCTTGCTAAATGCTCTGGGTCGCTGTCACTTTTCATTTTTGTAGCAAAGGTGCTGTGACAGACAGTAAAGATTCCAACACAAGTCTTGCATTGTAAAAGCCCACACTCTGAGCTCCCTGGTCCCCAGGTTCCCTCAGAAAGGGAGTCCTCAGTCACAGACAGCTGTGACTGACAACTTGACTTGGAGAAACATACGCCCTTAGATGAAATGGGCTTAGACCTAGGCTGATAACCATTTGGGTTAATATAGAACTGCCCTGGTTTTGACACTAAAAGTCTACTGTCATGGGAAACGCCTGACTCCTGGGTAAACCAGGATGGCTGATCAACCTACACTGGCTCGTCCAGCAAGGAGTTGCTTTCAGCTTGGTCAGTTCCGTGCAGAGCGATCAACTGGATCTATATCAAGACCTAAAGTGGTCGCAGGGGACTTCCGCCTATTTCTTCCTAGGGCCCTGGGGAACCCAGATGCAAGAGGTAGCTACCTTCTCTCAGATCCTGTAAGTTTGTTGAAAAAAAAGCGTATGGATCGAATATGATCTTAATCTTGGCTGAGCAGGGTCAGAAAGCCCTACATCTGCAGAATTCACTACTAGTTCCATGTTCTCAGATGTTCCTAGCCATCGTCACTTTGGAGAATGGTCCTTCAAAATCTGGTGGCATCTTTCTTGCTCTCTATGCAGTTCTTTATGCATACTATCTCATTTAACCTCAGAGAGAGCCCCCTGTTGTCAACATTCCTATTTCCCACTGTACAGATTAGAAGAAATACAATGACCAGCCAGGTTCATACAGCTGCTGAGAGGCTGAGACAGGACTGGAAAACCTGTCTACACTTAGCCTGGGTTTTATAGCTGTTGCTTCCACCACCTGGCATGATGTCCTTTATCTCTCAGACTATCATCTCCTCAAGAAGTCTTCTGTTATATGGGAAAGTCCTATTCTCCTTGAATCTCTTCTCCCAGAACATTTATATTTATTCATGTGATTATCTGATTAAAGCCTGTTTCCTCCCGAGACAGTGCTGCCAACACCTGGCACACAGTAGGTCCTAGATAAATATCTGTGAGTAGAATATAAGAGACTAGAGCAAAATCTAATGCTAAGACCAATCTTTTCCCCATTGCATTTTCTGTTTCCCCAGCCTCCTCCCTGCTTTCCTTGAGAATGATGAGAGATGTTAACGTTCCAATTTTTCAAATGAGCATTTTGGAAACTAAGAGTCTGAGACATTTATCCAAGATTATTTTATCTGAGGGGTGAGGATGGACGAATCCCAGCCACCTGACAACCAGGGAAACTTTCCAAAGCACAAGGGCTTTATTAATGCATAGCTTTTCGTGGGCATAGCATTAATCTCCAATTTACCCATAACTCACTGTGCTACAGTAGGCGCAATACCTAAGATTTGTAGTGTACCTCACAAAATGTGTGTATAATTCCCCCCAATTGCATTTAGCTCTCACAATGTTACATATATGATCAACGAACTCAGAAGAGTTGATTTGTTCAAGATTATGCAGCCAAAGAGTAATATAATTAGTGATTAAAGTCAAGTCATTACACTAACAATTTTGTGTTATTTACACTCTACTAAATCTATATATGCATCATCTCTATAGTTCAAATCTATCTTGATGGATATATATATATGTATATATATATATATATATGGATGCTTCTTAAAAATGTTGTCTGTCTCCAGTTTTATTTTTACTTTTTGTAACAGCTTTATTCACAAACCATAAAATGCACCCCTATTAAAATGTACAATTCAGTGGTTGTTATTATATTCACAGAACAGGGCAACGTCTTTGCTATCTAATTTCAGACCATTTTCATCACCTCAGAAAGAAACTGCATTCTCTTTAGCTGTCACACTCCATTCTCCCCTCCTCTCCACCCGAGACAACCACTTTCTGTCTCAGTGGCACCACGAATAAAGGGAATCCTATGACATGTAGGTTTTTACAGCTCACTCTTTCATGGTTCATTCATGCTGTAGCACTTTGGCCTTTTCTTCCTTTTTTACAGCAGAATAATATTCTTTTCTATAGATATACCACATTTTGTCCATCCATGCATTGCATAGTTTTTAAAAAACAAATTTTCAGCCAACATGGAGCAATTGGAAGACAATACAAAATCCAGGTGTCTACTACCTTTTAGAAACTCAGAGGCCTGATGGCACATTCCTCATCATGATGGTGTGCAGCTGCTGAGGGTGCGCTAGCCCCATGGCTGAGGGTCTTGCTCTCCAGTCCCCTTGACACCCCATGATTCCTACAGTCCTCCCTTCACCCCTGGAGTGTCTCACCTAGCCCCTGTGGGTTTCAGATCTATGGTGTATGTTGTTTGGGAAAAAGTTGTGACCTTTTACTCAGCCTTCTACACATGAGCCATCTTCCCTAAAGATTTCTTTCTGATACCCGTATGGTAACCTTGTAACTCATCTGCAACGTTCATCCGCACAGCCAGATCTGGTGAAAATTTCATTCATCTGTTCTCACCCCAGGACACAGACAGTTTCAGTCCCAGAAGAAACAAGGAGTGCTTACAAATTCCTGTGAGATGTGGGTGGAGGCACTTGGCCCCAACATTTCAGTGGATGATAATCCATAACTGCAGCGTTCACCATGCAAGCTTGTTTTTGAGACCAAAATAAAACACACAAAAAAGAAAAATCAAAAAGAACTTTTATGCACCAAGTATTGAGCACACATTTCAAACCTTCTCAAATCAATGTCAGAGTCCTGCTTTGTTTGGAGTCTCTGATGCCACAGACTTTATTACTCTTTGTTCTATTTCTTTTCTTCTAGAGGAAAAATTCAGACTGTCCACTGATACTTTGGAAGTAAGAGACTTCCTTGCACACGATTTTTTTTTTAAAAAAGAACTCTTTCTATCAATAGAAAAGTGTAACAACTACTAATGCTCTAAATGCCTTATTTAATTGGGCTAATATGAGGAACATGAGTCTCTCCATAGGTTTTAACTTATTGAAATTGATGTCCAAAAACCTTGAAAGCAAGGCAGTTCACACACACACACACACACACACACACACACACACACGTACACACACACGTACACACACCCTCAAGCACACACACACCCCTAAACTGCATAGATACTCATTCAATCTGAAAAAGTATAAGGCAATGAGGAATATTATAAGTGGGGTTTAACCAAGTTTTGCCAAGTCTGACAGACCTGGAAAAAATATGTTTCACCATTCATTGTAAACGACAGGGAATAGAAAAAGCTGTTTTGTTGCTGTTGCTTCCCTGGAGGTAGAGCTTTGGCTGTGTAAAACACTGGATGAAACCAGACTGCTTCAAAGACATTTTATTCTAACAGCAGAAAGAAAACAGTCATTGCTGAAAAAACAACTTTTAATACTTTCTATACCAGAATAAAGTTCTGTCAACTGATGTATTATAATAATAAATAATGACCAAGAATAAACTTTAAATACAAAGTTTTCTACTTGTTACAAGCATAGCAACAAAATCCTCTACTCTATTGATCTCAGATTTCCTCCAAGATAGATTTTTTTTTCTTCGTGTAGGAATGTAGACAGTATTATGACCAGCATCACAGACTACAGAAGTTACAGGGAAAAAACTTGACATGTTTAGATATGAGAACCTGATGACATTCAGAAACTGACATGGCATCACTGCGGCTGTCACTTGTTTGTATTACAAGTTACAAATGTTCTGGAAAGAAGGCCTGTGTCAGAGGGGGGATAAGGATGGTAGCACTGGACAAAATGGAATCAACACACACGCCACAAAGAAGAGGGGATGTTCCCAGTGTCACAAACAGAATTATTGCCTGTCGCATCTGACGATGCCCAGAAGACACAAAGAATACTGAAAGAGCTCCCAAAGTGCTAGAAATGGAATGTGGCTCTCATTTTTTTCCACTTTTTTTTTTTCCTTTTTCTTGGGTTTTTTTTTTTCTTCTTTTTTTCTTTTTTCTTTTTTTTCTTTTTCTTTGCTAAGATACCAAAGGCGGGGCAAACACACAGAAAGCAAGCGACTGGCAGAGTCACCAAACACAGTAGTGCAGTTAAAATCCTAAAGCTTACTACAGTCAGAAAGTTTCCAATAACATTTTCAGTCCTTTCTCTAGGATCATAGAAACAGTTGCATTAAGTTTATCAACTCGTTTTAAGTAAGGCAGTGAGAACTAGACTAGGAAAACAAGAAAGCAGCTTGCTCTATGCCAGATGGGTCTGAGTTGAACAGAGACCTCATTTGCACTGAAACCTCGGTTAGATGACACCCTTTGACAGCATATGCAAACCGGATTCCT